CGTTGGATTTGTCACTATAGAGGAAAAAAATTTCAAAGGTTTTATTGAAATGTTCTTATTCTTGTTGAAATATTGAAGTATCAAGGGAAATGTTTTAATAATTCCCTTATTAGATGCATCTGTTAGAATTGCATATGGATGCCCATCTTTCAAATCGTCTAGAATTGACCTCTAGGATTCAAGTACTAAAAAACTTGTGATAGCCTTGCTCATTTTTTGTTCTACCACAAGTAAAATTTGCACTTATATTGGAGTCGTTAAATATCATGGGAAAGATTCGACCCACATTGTAATGATATAGCTCTGTAAATGTTGAACTACATAATAGTTGTATACGATTGTAGTTGCATCTGTAATATTTATTATTTTTGGAGAATATTTTTGTATTGCAATCGATGTTGATATACTCCCCTGTACTGACTTATATGAATGAAATGATGTTGATTTATTATTGGATAAAAATAAAACAGGATAGAAAGAAATTTACAAACTAGACATTTTCAAATAAATTTTTAAAATTTATTTTAAAAATATAAAAAATTATTTATATATTAAAAACGTTAAAATACTAAAAAAAAAATTGCGGTAAATTTTTGCGGGAGATTTCCAATTGGGGTAGATTTGCGGGAGAGAGGTCTGCGTGTAAACTAAAAAATTGCGGGAGTCTCCCGCTGATGGGGGGAGACATGGTATCCCTGAATATAAATATAATAACCTCTAAGAAAAGTACCAAATAGGATATGTGTAAATATTAACTTGATAAAATGGTAAATGAATGGTTCACAAAGAAAGTTTATATTATTTATTAATTGAAAAATATCTTTACATTGACATTTGTCAGAAAATCAACGATAACCATCATAATCGTATCAATTAATGGATTTAAAAAGATTATAATTCAAATCAAAAATTACCCCCAAAAAATCGATACCTACCCGCAAAAAATTAATGCCTATCCCCAAAAAACAATATCAACCCCCAAAAAATGCCAATATATTTTGGAGGCATTTGTCTCTTATCCCCCCCCCCCCACCGGCCATGTAGACGCTGATATGACTAACAATAAGAGATAATATACATTCGGGACTAATTTTTATTACGGTTAATAACAACCACTTAATTAGTCAACTATTATCACCAGTAGTTTATTTCTAATTCATATCCTAAATCATGATGCTTATAACAATTTAGATTATGGTTTTGTTGAATAAATTTGATAGTGGCGCAATTAATTTTAATAATATTTATAAATAATATTCTAAGGAGTTTTTTATTAATATCATCGATTTGGTATAGTTTAAAATCTGAAAGAATATCATGGGAGTTTTTTGGTAGTTTTGGGAAAATTCCCTGTCAGGTAAACTCTGATTAGTTTTTGCAATGGTTTTGTCTTTTTTTTCTAAATGAGACAAGGCTGATGGACTATTAAGTCATGTGAGACCGTAGGACCATCGGCCCAGGGTCCTTCTAAAAAAGTTTTTTTTTATTAAGCTATGAAAGTTTTATTCTGCATTAAATTTATTAAAAATGAAAAGTGTTAAATTACCAATATTTTAATTATATCACCAAATCATTTTTATTATATTATACAATAGATATTACCCTACTAAATTAAATTACTTGACGAATGAATTAAATGAAACGGAAGGTATTAAAATTAAAAGATGAATGAGATATAATAAAGTGTTAGGCATTAAATAATCATGTTTTATGTGTTCATGCAGGGGCGGACTGGCGACGCTCCGGCCTCGTGTGAATTTTTTATAGCGGTCTCATTTATATGGGGACTTCGCCCCCATACCCCCATTTTGCGGGCATTCGGCCAGTTTTAGTCCGGTTTTCGAACGGGTTCCCATAAATGGCTTCTTTGTTTTACATGATTTTTGTTACTTATTTTTTGAAAATAGGTTCAAACGTTTTACATATTTAGTAAAAAAAAAGAATAATATTATACGATAATCATATATTTTATTTAAAAAAAATGCACATCTAAAATCAATACATTACCTATACAAAATAATATTCATTGAAAATATATATTTTATATTAGATTTACAACGATATTGCACTATAAAATCAAATCATACATCACATGTTAAATATAAAAAACATGCATACTCAATATATTAAATCAATTAATTATAAATATAAAATAATTTCAGTTATACAATATTACAGAGAATAAAATTGCTGCATTTTTATAAAATCAGGCACCGATCATATTGTAAATTATATTAATAAGATTCTAATAAAAGAATTAAGAAAATATATAATTTTTACGTTAATAAATCTCTCATTAACTTTGAACCTTTGCGCAAATATACAGAATATCTTTTAGTTCAATCTACGCTAATAGTTCTCGTTCAACTGACAACATTAAAAATGCTTCTAATTTTTCTTGGTCAATATTAGCTCTCAGCTTATTTTTATAATTTTTAATTTACTAAATGCTTTCTCGCAATTAACCTGCGTAAATGATAAAGTTAAAATGTATTCATATGCCAAAAATAAATTAGTGTCATGCATAATCTTTTAAGAATTTCATACACGCATATTAAACACTTGTTACATTTATTATCACACTCTGATTTATTATCATATTGTAATATTCCATCTTCTTCATTTGACTCCTCACTTGTACATGCGATATCATCGTCCGTTTCATTTAATTTTGCTACCCAATCTTTGAATACACTGGCAAATGAACATAATTCCTTATGAAATTTAACACTCAATATATATGCCAATTGTGCCAGTTTTTCCAAGGCCTTTTCAGAAATACCTTTACTATTTATTTCATCAAAATGTCTTGGATGCAAATATTGCACATTTAAGATAAGCTCTCAATTCGCAGAAAGTAGTTCCACAAGCTGTTTATAATTTGATCAATTATAGGACGAAATAGTTCGAACCTATAAAGGTCTATCGATTCTTGAGGACGTTCATCTTGGTATTTCTCACTATATATTCTCTTCGCTCGTCCTATTCGATCTTTTTACAAGCATTTTGTACTCAGATACTCTCCGGGAGCTATAAATATGAAAATGTTTCATTTAAATTAGCAGCCATTTTATTGCTTTATTTTGAATCGTTGTAATAATCGATGATGCAGAAGATTTAGCATCTTCTTTCATTTTACATGCTGTCAAAGTACCTAATTTTTTAGTTTGAAGATATGACAGTGGCCTCATTATTTTAAAAATTCCCAAATATATTATAGCTGTACTTAGAGTCTTAGATTTACATAGATTATCAAGTTTTTGTCTCAAATTATTTATTAACTATTATAAATTGAACTGCCTTTATCGTTATTGGGAGCAAGCTCTCTTTACCATATATCCATTTAAACATTTTCTCGCAGCCTCGTAGGCAAAATGCCCATCGGGTCTTATGGCCAGTCCGCCCCTGTGTTCATGTATATGTACATTAACTAGAAAGCAATTCACAGCAAATTTATATCTACTTTAATCAGTTTTCGGTTGGACCAGACCAACGGACAGTGTTGTCTGCCCGGACCTCGGACTACAAGACCGAAATTGACTGGACGTCGGTTCAACCGGACTACTGCAAACACTACTGATGATAACTAAATCTAAAGAAATGTAAAAATCATCCTTTTTGATTAATTTTTCTTTTGATACCTACAATGAGAAATATGTTTTTAAAAGCATCAATTTTTAGGCTGCCCCTTTTTCTGTACATTTGATCCATCCATTTTTCAAACCTTTATATACTTGGATATGTATCCAATAATTAGTCAGGAGTTTCTTTTGTATCATATTGTTCAGAATAAATAAAATAAAAAGTAATATAAAATTTTAGTATATATTTCTTAATATTTACATAAATCAAATTTCAGGTTGGAAAAGAGGGAGATAGAGAAGTAGGATGGATAAAATTTATATACTTGGATATGTATCCAATAATTAGTCAGGAGTTTCTTTTGTATCATATTGTTCAGAATAAATAAAATAAAAAGTAATATAAAATTTTAGTATATATTTCTTAATATTTACATAAATCAAATTTCAGGTTGGAAAAGAAGGAGATAGAGAAGTAGGATGGATAAAATAAATATATACTTTATAAAAGAAATATTAAAAGTTTTATGTAAACGAATGTGTTTATTAAAATTAAGTGAATACGTTCACTACTTTTACAACAGTAAATTATTTTAGAAGAAAAAGTTAATAAAAATGTGATATTCTTTGTTCTATTAGGATTTAATTAACAAGTAACATCCAGCAATAAACAATGCCCATATTTCAAATGAGATTATTAACTTTTGAGGTGTAAAAAACAAAAAAAAATTAATCATTTGTGATAATGAACCAAATATTGTATTGGCCATGAGAAACAAAAAACTTTAAATTGCTTCTTGTTTTGCCAATAAAAATGAACTGATTTGCCATAGAATACTTTTGTTCAGTTTGTCATTTTTTCAAAATTTTTATTGCATATAATACTTTATTATTATATATTTACTTTATTTAAGGTGCTGGTAAAATTATTGACATACCAAATTATAATTGCTTAATAATTAATTTGGCTTCTAATGAAGTGAAAAGATTCTACTACATTCTTTTCTCAAAGTCTCATTAAGCTAAAACTATACTTAGGTTCATTAGAGTGAGGTAATGAGAAAATATATTCTTTCTTTTGCATTTATTCCAGATAAGAGTATTTATCAATGTCATTAAAAAATCACCCATTTTCCTTTACTTTCAAATTGTTAAATTTTATTAGTACAAATTTTTTTTTTATGACATTGATTCAAAGATAAACAGTAAATATATCAATCTAGATATTGGATTAGATTTGTAAGAATATTGGATTAGATCAATAAAAAATTTGTGGATAAGCACAGCTTGATATTTTTTTAAAAAAAAGATGCTTGACACTAAGGTTTATTTTACAATATTTGTTTGTTATTTCTCATTCAAAACATACTTAATTTTAATATTTAATGAAAAACAAACTCTCACACCATAGTTTTCTGAAGCCATTTATTTAAATTACCAAAAATATAATATAAATATATTTAAGAATAAACCATTAAAAATATTTCTCCTGTTAATAAAAGGTAGCAAATTTTTCAAAAATTGATTTCAATTTTTTATCTTTCACTGGAATACCACTATCAGTAGAATTTTCAATCAAATTTTCTTGATTTGTAGCACATTTTGACTTGGTATCTTTACCCCATAGAGTGCTCAAAAAATTTAAAAATCCTTTATCTTTATTAATATCATTATTTTCATGGTCTTTAATAAATTGTGGAGAACTGATTAGGTCTTTTGAGTTTTCTGTAATAATTGTTCCATCTGATTTTTTGATAGTCACAAATTTTTCCATATCTTTTCCTCTCTTTATGGTGTGTGTTATAGTTTCATTACCTAAGCTATCTTTTTGAGTAAGTGTCTGTTCTGAAAACTATTAATAAGAAGTAAAGTGCATTAATATAAAAATATTATGAAATAACATTTTTTAAATAATAATAAAGGTAAAATTTAAAACATTTATGCTCAATAATTTAGGATATACCCCATTAAAATTACTGAAGATATTTGAAAAATGATAAGTCGTAATATTGGAGTTGCCAATAGATGGTGATGATGAAAATTGAAAAGGATCAATTGTTTCAAATATTGGGAATAATTTTATAGGAACATTTTCTAGAAGTGTGAAAGGATAAGGTGTTTAAACAAAATAATTACTTTCTTCGGGAATTATAATTGCATCATTTTTCATCTATAAAAAATTTAAGGCAATACTAAAAGAAATGAAAAATTGTAGTTAACTTGATTATCATCTGAATGTTTTAAAAGTGAATCTCTAAGTGAGGTAGCTGAAAATTGTTTTGTATCCTGATCTGGTATATTCCCTAACAAGCAATTGCTACAATCATTAGGGACCACAAAAGAGAAATTATCGTTTAGGTTTGTATGGTCTTCATAGATTCCAAATTCACCTATAATTTTATCAAAATTTTTAAAAATAAACTCAGTCTGCTTTATAAAATCAAATATATCGCGATTTTCCATATTATTTATATATTTACATTTTACTACTATTTTATTAATAAATAAGGTAGAACATAATTAGATTGATAATAATTTGACAGCAGTCGTTACTTATTTTCTGTACGAATAATTAAAATGAGTTTCAATATTTCTCTTTTATAATTTAATAAAATCAATTTAGTTTAACGAGTAAATTGAAAAAAAATATTTCCATTGCTATTAAAACTGAAAATTACCAATTGAATTGATAAAAATTTAGTTTCTATGTAAAAAATATAAAGAATTTACATGGACTTCATTTTTTTATTTGAAAATAATTGTATGAAATTTTAGATGGAATGTTATTATCAAATATCTGCTCCTTTTAATATCTTTGTATTACATCGATTTGTTATTAGTACCTAGAATATTTGCTAATATGCGTTACGACTGTCATCTCCCAAATCTTGGAATATTTTTTAATATTGCTCCGATAAAATATTATAAATAAAATAATAAAAATTTATAGTATTATTGATGAATATAACCAAGAAATATTTATTTTATAAGTTTATAAATTATTTACATCTGCAAAATTAATTGAAATTTACATATTTAATTTCGGGATCGGTTCTAAATCGCTAAACGAAAAATCGCTAAAAAATGGGATGTTCCCAATTTTGTTACCAGTGAAAATCCCAAAGATGGCTACTAGTGTTTTATTTAAAAAATGAAGATTCAAACCGTAGCAGAAAACATAAATAATTTACTTAAGCTTAGGAAATTAGATATTAAAGTATGTATAATTTATAGATATGAAAATTTTATTTACATTTAAATTTTTTTTTAGAAAACAATAAAAAATAAAGACTACATAGAATATTTGGGATATCAGTATTTACAGCACAAATCTGGTAAAAGTGCCATATATTACTATTGTCGCAAAAGATGTGGTGGGAGAGCAAAACTCACCATTAATTGTGACTTTAGTATAACTAAATGTCATTTAGACACTTGTAAACCAATTCAAAGTAAAACTTAATTGTAATTATATATTATTATATTTTAGATGTTTCACCTTTATCATCAAACATTATCTTAGAACAACTGAGATCAAATTTTCAAGGTAAAAATATTTTATTACATAATTATAAAACAATAAACTCAAAATCATATAGATGTATCTCAAATATCTTCTCAATCTCATGGAGAATCCTTGACCCTCTCAAATCCAAGTTAAAAATTATAAATAATCTTAAATAAATATTATAATTTTAGTTACAACATATTATATAACCATTATCTAAACACAAATTTTAAAATAGGTTATACTCAAAGTCATTCAGCTTACACATCCCCTCTTTGCTCATATATCTCCCCATATATTCCTGATTTTCAAAGTAACATTTTTATAACAAATCAATTTAATCTATAAAATATAGATGCTCCCAACATATCAAATGATTTCTATACATCTCCTCTTAATTCAGAAATAGAAAGTAATAATTCTTAATGAAAATATATATATCCCTATATATATAGGCAATTATTTTTTAGAAAATATGGATAATTATGGATTTGCAGAATCTCTAATAGATTTTAATGAAAATATACATATTTTTGGTAAATTTCTATATAAACATCTAAAAATTTTCTTATATTTTAGAGGAACCAACATTTATCGATAGCCAAAAGGGCAAATCATTGCTCTTTTTTCAAAATTTTCTTTACCGTTATAACGGTACATACAGGAATACAATTTACTACCGTTGTCTAAAAGCTGATTGTAAAGTGACGTGTAAATATATTCAGGGATACACAATATCCAAAATGCATGAACATCAAAATCATGCTATACTTTTTCACAAATTAAAAACTTTGCAAACAGTAAAAGCAACGGTACAACAAAATCCTTTAGATACAAGGATGAATATCTATCTAAAGGCATTAAACCAACAATGCTCTGAAGATCCAGATATAATCAATTATCCAGGAGCCTTACCACCTTTTATTTCCGTTAAAAATACGATTAACCGTATTTTAAAACAAACCAGGCCAAATATTCCCATTAGCAATGACACAATTGTATTGACCACTGAATTGATAACAACATTCAGTGGTGATAGCTTCTTAATAAAAAATAATAATAACAAACTTATTGTATTTGGGTCTGTCATGTTAGTCAGTTTATCTTCCTATACAAAATTTATTTATATGGATGGGACTTTTTACACATGTCCACGTTTTTTTAGCCAATTATATACTATACATATCATGTATAATCAAACGATGATCCCTATCATATATGCACTTCTTCCAGATAAAAGGAAGGAGTCCTATATTGAGCTATTTCAAATAATCGTGGAATATGGGACATTGAATGGTATCCAGTTTTCACCAGAAATGGCACAAACCGACTATGAAGCAGGAGCGATATCTGCTCTACAATTTGTATTTCCCAATATTTTAGTAAAGGGTAAAGTTTAAATTATATATAGTTGTATAATTTATTTTTAGGCTGCTTCTTCCACTTTACGCAGGCCATTTGGCGTAAAGTTCAGCATTTAGGTTTAGTCAAGCAGTATAAAGAAGAGACTGCTGTATACACTATTGTTCGAAGGATGAGTGTATTACCTTTATGCAAGAGAGAGGACATTCAAGTGGTCCGTGATTCTTGTGTAGATCTAGCAGCCAATGACCCGTTAATATTAAGTTTCTTAATATATATGGATACTACCTGGATAAATTCTGATGCAATCTTTCCTCATCAAATTTGGACCAGGTAATTATTTCATTTTTATTAATTCCTCACAATTTATATAAAAGTTTATAATATTTTTAACATTTAATACATTGTTTGGTGTTAGGTATAAGATTCAAGGTCCTCGCAGTAATAATCATCTTGAAGGATATCACCATTCCCTCAAGCGAATGGCAAAAAATGCTCATCCGGACATATATTCATTAATTCGCGTTTTAAAAGATAACCAACGCCTGACAGAACTTAAAGTTATACAAATCAATAACGGGGAAATAGTTACGGAGAAAAATAAAAAATATGTGATAATTAATAAAAAAATTGTAAACTTAACAGCATTATATGATATTACTTCTAATTTTTTTTTTTATTGATAAAGTGTCTGATTTAATAAAATCATATTAAATATATATTATTAAATTTAAAATAGTTGTAGATATATTGTTAATAAAAAATTTAATATAAAATTGATAAAAAAGACCAATATACTTGGTGTTTGAAATGATACTTTATTTTTTTTTTGTTTACATGACAAGATTTTCACTGGATGTAGATATCTATCATAAATCTATATACAGCGTCTACATGAGCGGGAGAGGTAGGAACAGTTTGCATCCTATTTTTTGAAGGGGTGGGTGGTAGGCTGCCTTAATGGGGGTAGGATAAAAATATTTTGGGGTTATCTATTAAATCTTGAGATGAAATAAGACAAAATTTATTGCTGTAAAAATTAATACTTTTATTATGGAATTATTATAATACAATTCATCGACCAAATCTATATATTGCAAACAATCATACACATTGTTTTCCAAATAAACTATCCTTTTAAATGTAATTTAGAGTTTAGATATTTCAGCAAGCTCATAATGCCATAATAATTAATTCATTGTAAATAATGGGAGTTTTAATTGAATTTATTATCTAAAAAATAAATTCTTTATATTCACAAAATATCGATAGATGGTAGTAGAGATAGATTAATTTAAGTTATCCTTTATAAATTCTTTGAAAAGAGTATCAATAAATTAAATAGGTAAAAATAATAATAAAAAGAACGCATACTTAATAATATTATATATATATATATTAAAATTTATTATAATATCCCCCTTAAAATATATATTTGTTATTAAGTATTGAATATAACTATTGATAAAATCTTTTATTGCCATTTAAAATATTTTTGTAAAACGCCTTGTTAATAATATAATTTGTAATTATATACTAAAATTTATTATAATTTCTCCCTTAAGATATATATTTGTATTAACTATAAAAAGTTTATTGAGATTTAGATTAAAAAAAAAATAATGATCATATATTCAAAAAAAAAGTTTGCTATATATATTGACAATGTAATTTATATAAATTGATCTTTTTAAAAAAATTAAAAATAAAAAATTGAACATTAGTTTGTTAAGTAAATTGATTTATAAAATATAAAATTTTAATATTAGTTTATAAACAATTTGATTTAAAATATAAAAGTTGTTTTTTTAACAAAAAGAAATTTTAAGTTAAGCCATAAATGGCTTAAGGATAAAAAAAAATAATTTTTTAAAGTTAATATTATTTAACATTTCACACTTTTTTTTTTTTTAATTTTTTTTATTTGCCCTCTGTCTATAATTTAGTTGTATGTCATTCTTGCTCGTCAACCCCTTCGTTGATCTTTTGTACGTTTTATCTATTTAGTTCCACACACAAAATAACTAATTTTGTTTTAATATAAGGAAGAGAGAAAAAAATTTATTATCAAATTTAATTCATTATAAAATTTTCAAATTTTCTAGGCAACACAGTATTTCTAACTGGTCTTTGATTCTGATCATTTATTTGTACGTTTTGGTTTCTTGTTTCATCACCTCTCCTTCTAAAATTCAATGTATAAGGTGATGCATTATTATTAACATTCGCTTTAAAAACTGTTGCACCATTAGAAGAAAGTTCTACATTAGTTGATCTTCTTTTTATTTGGTCCAAGTGTCTTTTTATAATTTTGTTCCCAGTATCTATATCATACAACAAATTTCCGTTTTTGCGCATTATTGTACCTTTTTCCCAATTATTATCTTTAAAAGTTTTATACCATATGCTGTCTCCTATTTCTATATCCCTATCTATTGATATCTTGCGATTTAGTATATGATCTCTTTCATCCCTCGGTTTTATCAACTCCCATTTTGTCCTAATCATTCTGGAGAACATTACTTCGCTTGGTATTTTGTTGGTCGTTGCGTTGGGTGTATTACGATAATTAAAAAGAAACTTTTCTAGAGCTATGTCTACGTCTATTTTATTATTATTTTCCATATTCCTTTTCATATTCATTTTCATTGATCTAATCATACGCTCACATTGGCCATTGGACTGTTGGTGGTGAGGTGCGGTGAGCAAGTGTTCGATTTCATGATCTTCACAAAATTTCTTGAATAATTTACTGGTAAAGTTAGTTCCATTATCACTGACTATTCTATTAGGTATACCAAATAAACTTATTATTTTCATCAATTCTTTAATCGTTGATTCCGTAGTTGTGTTTCTCATTCTCCTAATAATAGGAAATTTGCTGAAGGCGTCAACACATACCATAAAATTATTATCTTTGAACTCTGCAAAGTCTATGTGTACGCGCTCGAATACTTTCGTTGCTGTTTCCCATGGGTTTTGAATATTATGAGGATTGTCTGCGTATTTATTGCAAGCATCGCAATTCTTTACCTCCTGATCTATTTCTGCATTTAAACCAGGCCACCACAGATACTCTCTCGCTAATGATTTTGTTTTTCCAGCACCGAGATGCCCATTATGCAACTCTTGCAAAATCTCTTTTCTCATACTTTTCGGTATTATGATCCTATTCTCTTTAAAAAGGCAACCTTTGATTAAACTCAATTCCAATACCATATTTTTATACGTTTTGTTCTTTATCTGCTCATGATTCCTTATATCATTAATTACTTCCATTAGTTCTTGATCAATATTAGTTTCTTTAACTATTCTTTTAAAATTTATTGGTGTGTCCCAAAAATTGTCATCAATTATTTCGTCATCTAACTTTTGTACCATCTCTTCTGTATTCATTAGTGGTAATCTGGACAAACAGTCTGGTACAATATTTCGTTTCCCGGGTCTGTGAACTATCGTAAAGTCATGTGCTCCCATAGCCAAGTTCCATTTTTGGAGTCGCATTGATATGGAAGAATTGTCCTTGAGTCCCTTCGTAAATATATACACGAGTGGCTTGTGGTCGGTAATTATTACAAATCTTGTGCCTATTAAATACTCCTGGAATTTTTTAACCGCGTAAATTACCGACAAAGCTTCTCTTTCGATATTGGTATAATTTAACTCTGATTTCAATAGTGCTCTTGACGCGAAAGCGATGGGTTTTTCTTTGCCATCACCCTCAATATGAAATAAAACTGCGCCTAACCCTTTCTTTGAAGCATCAGTTGCAATGCCCACTGGTAGATCCGGGTTATAAAAATTTAACGTAGGCGGAGTGCTTATGAGTTTTTTTAGGTAATCAAAGCTTTCTTGATGTGTACTATCCCATGACCACTTGTCTTTATTTACTATTTTGTATAAGGGATCGGCGATGTCAGCAAAATTGCACAGAAATTTTCGATAATAGCTCGCCATCCCCAAAAAAGTTGCCAACTCTTCTTTTGTCTTAGGTTCCGGCATATTAGAAATAGCCTTTATTTTATCTGCGTTCGGATGGATTCCATTGTCGTCTATATCGTGACCTAGAAACCGTAGTTTTTTTTTAAAGAAATATACTCTTTGTGAAGTTTGGTGTAAGCCCATACTTTGATATTTTGTCAAGTACCATTTTTATGTTGTTCACGTGAGCTTCATCATCCTCCCCAGTAATCAATAAGTCATCAATATAAAACACGACGTCTTTCATGTTCCCGAAAATGTTATCCATGGTTTGTTGGAATATTGCTGACGAAGTTTTTAATCCAAACGGAAGTCTTGTAAACCTGAAATAGCCTTTATGAGTTGAAATAGTGAGAAAGTCTCTTGATTCTTTGTGTATTGGAACTTGAAGAAATGCATTTTTAAAGTCGATCTTTGTAAATTTCTTGCCTTTCGATAACTTTGCCATAAGGTCATTAATGCGTGGAATTGGGTACTTGAAATCCTCTAACGCAGGATTAATAGTATTCTTGAAGTCAACACATAGCCGAATTGAACCATCGCTCTTGACAACAGGAGTGAGAGGACTGGCCCATCTTACCTCTTCAACAGGTTCGATTATTTTGTCGCTTATCCACTTCTGTAGTTCTTTTGTAACCAATTCCATTCTAGAATAAGGTACACGCCTGGGAGGTATGATTTTCGGTGTAGCACCTTGTTTTAGATGTAGTTTGACATAATTGCGTAGTATTGGTTTCTTGCTAAGTTTTGACTCGCATTGTTTGATCAGTTCTTGAATAGTATTGTCATAATCTTCTTCGACTAAGTTTACAAATCTATCTAGTATATTTCTAAAGACTGCTATCCAGGTCCTTCCTAACAGTGCAATCTTATCACTCTGGACTACATAAGCAGTTAAGATTTGACTTTTGTCTTCGAATTTTGCCTTGACTTTGGTAGTTCCTAAAACATTTATTGTGTTTCCATCATAACCAGTTAATTTAATATCTGATTTATTTAAGATTTTTACTCCAATCTTTTTCGCGATATGAATCGGTAGAATACTATACTTTGACCCGGTGTCGATCTGCATCAAAATAGGCATCTCATTCAAATATACCGTGACCTTGTAAGCATCGTTAGCTGTGTAATTATTATCGGTATCCATATTGTTTATGTCTAAATTGTCTAAATTGTATAAATTATATTCTTTTCTTTCTAGTTTGTCATTATCATCTTCTTTTATCTCTTCTATATTAACAGTGTTTACTTTATTTGTATATCGTGATTGATTATTGTCGTTGTTATGATATTTATAATTGCATACTTGATTAGTTCCTCGATTCCCAATATTATGATTATCATTATATCTTTGAATACATCTTGAATCGTTATAATGTCTGTTATATCTGTAATTATAATCATTATTAAATCTATTATTATTATAGTCATTTTTAATATAACTAGTTCTATTATCAAATCTCGAAGAATTATTGTACGATCCTGGATAGTTTGCTCTGACGTTGTAATAATTCGCTTTATAATTCTGATATCTAGGGTTGTAATTATTTCCTTGGTAACTGGGGTTATAATTATTTCCTTGATAAATATTTCTTTGAAAGTCATGGCCTCTTGCTGTCCATCGTTGTCTGTTATCGTAATTAGATTGTAAATTTCGTCGTTCATCATGGTCTCCATATCTCACCAATTGTTTATTTTCTTC